TAGATACTATTTTGAACTATTACTATTGACTTCAATAAAGAAATGCACTACTGACAGAAAGTATCTAGAGTCTTGATTACATGGGCTGATGAAGAATTATGATGTATAATATTTCTTCTCACTAGTAGGTCTATAGTTCGACAAAGGAAGGAGTTTATGATCTGGTCAACCTGTCATTATATAAAATATCCGTAGCTTTTGAACGCTTTGATAAAACTCGATGAAATTTAAAGCATAAATAGTTACATTAAAAGATTACATAATGATAGTTTCATAAACTTTTCTTGAGTTACAGAACAACTAGTGAGAAGAACCATCATATATTATAACTTCTCGTTAGCTCAAGCGATTAAGACCGGTCTGGTCTCATTGGCCTACATGTCTAAGTCTAAGAACGACTAAGATATTTTTGGCTAATAGTGCTAGTTGTATACAGTACCCTTGTGAATAGAAACTTTGAAGAATCCTCTGTTACCAAGAAATAAATCAGCCTGACTAATTAAAATAGACTGAAGATATTGAATTTGTTTATAGTCTAGTTATTTATAGATCACATTGTACATAAAAACAATTAACCTGTGTTATCAGTAAATGGTATTGAAGAAGGAGATGCAGTAATAACTCCTGATGGTTGATTTTCTTCACGTTCAATACGTGCAGATAGTTCACGATCAATACCTAATAATAAATTGTAGTTTTTTTTTTAATCACTATTCGTGTCATTTGAAATGAAAATCATCAAATACAGAAAAAATATCTTTCTTTTTCTTTAATTTGTAAGACATTAATATTTTGTGAGGATTATTTTTTTTTAATCTTCTTCAAATCTTCCTTGTAATTATTAATAACAGATACAGTAAAAAAAAACATTTTCATCATCCTCTTATAAAACTAAAATCTAGAAAAATATCTTCATTCAGATGAGAATTATAGAAAAACTCTTTTATTAATCTGAAAGAGGAGCGATGTAGATTTTTATTTTTAAACACGATCACTACTTGTGATATTATAAAAATTTCGCAATTTATCTAATATTATTAAACAATGTGTAATGTCGTTCTTTTCTATATTTTTATATCTTTATTATAGACTCGAAACTCTTAACGTATCTAATAAAGGCCTATTGATAATTAAAGTCTATAATAACAATACAAACTGATGCGTCTAAGAGTCAAAAGCGGGACGATGTGCATCATATAGATTCAAATGAGCCATGAACACCCTGAAAAAAAGTTCGGGCTAATAGAGTATTGTTGTCGAGATACCGTAGTTTTAGCAGAATGTCATAGTCCCCCTGAGGAAAACTGAATTTCTAATTTCGACTCGAAACTTTGAATACAGACAAATTTTAATGAGAATAGTTTTAGATCTTTTTGACTGCTTCTATTCTCAGATAAAAGCATGTTTTTTCATATCATTCATATACAACGAAAAATTTCAATGTTCTTATTTAAGAATAGGCACAATCGAAAGATTTGAAACTTTCATAACAAACTATTCTCGTTAAGGCATCTGAAAAGTTTCAATTCGAAACTTAGTTTTCCAGGCGGGGGTTATAGTATTGCACTAACAAATAAAATATCTCGGCAGCAATAAGCCATTACTTCGAATTCTTTTTTCAAAATATTCATAGCTCATTAGAACCTACACGATGCACATAGTCCCGACTCAATTTATATTATAGAGCACAATTTTTTTCTTCAATTTAAAATCTTCCCGAGCTTTGTAATATGTAGAACAGCCAAGAAATCTTTGACACAAAAAAATCGAGGGTTTTTGAGAAGGGGGATGGGGTTAAAAACTTTCGGATCCGAGTCCGAGATCAATCCGACCAGGCTCTACAGAGAGTGAACCTTAAACTCTACTTAAATAATAGCAGATCATAAGCATTTTATGCAAGAATGAAAATGAAACAAATTGTCTATCTATATTAATCAAATTTATTGGAATCTCATTACCCGTAAATGAAAAAAATATGCTCAATATTTCTATTTAAAAAGAAAAACCCATTGATAAAATCGTTCGACGGTCTGATGAATATCAAAAAGAAGATTTGATTTTCCAGTATGTGCTCGAAGTCTAATAAATAATTTACCAAAAGAGACATCTTTTTGAAAATCACTGCTACTATGTGTTTGATCATTTTCACTATTGTTTAATTCACCATTAGAATCACTGTTAATATATTGAGAATCTAATTTAAAAAAAGAATTAATTTTTAAGGTATCTATTTATTTTTTTTTGTTTTTGAATTTTAATTTTATACCAAATTGATTATCTACTGTATCATTTTTTGTATGCATAGGTAGATTTTGTGGATTTTTTCCACTGGATAAATCACTTAAACTTGATGTATTTTTTCCTATTTAAATAAAAATTTATTTGGATTCTTTTTGTATAAATAATTACCTTTTGAAATTGTATCAAATATAATTGATGATGTAGTTTTCTTTTCTCTAATTAATATTTTTTATATTAATATAATGAAATTCATTTTTTTTTAATTTTCTAAATCCCTACCGTGCTTGAATAACACGTGCTTTATAAATTTCATCATATGGATGATCCCATGATGATTTTCCAGTATTAAAATTAAAATAATATAATTCTCCATGTTCTTCTTGACATGGTTTCCAACCAGATGGTAATGGTTTCATAAGACCTTCTCTTGCTAACCAAAGAAGATCTTTTTCCTATGTAAAATGATATTTTGTTTTGTTTTTTTTATGTTTATTTACTTTCTCTGGATCAATTCCGATATAAATAGCATATTCATGAATTTCTTCTTGAGTTGGGTCATAATTTTCATCAATATATTCTTCTAAAATTGTTTGATTATTTAATTTATATCCAGAATATGCTTTCGACATTATTTATTTATTAGAATCCTATAGAATTCAAAAGATTTTCTTTCTTTTTTTATATCGTTGTCAAAGGAAACGAACAAGAAATATTATTAATCTTTCGTTAGATGTCAGTCATATTCATATTAAATTTTTTGTTTTTTCTTTGTTTTATAAGATTTTATTTTTTACTTAGAATGACACGCACAGGAATAAAATGTTTTTCTGTTTTATTTTAAAAGAGTTATTAATATAATATTTAACCATGCACAAAACGTTTTCCATGTACAAAACGTTTTTCAAGAAGATCCCCATTAATATCTTGATGTTCACCATCTTCATCAACCGATCGACCATGAACGAAACCTTTTAAATAAGCTCTAAAAATTTCATATTTGTTTTTGTTGTTTTTGTTTTTTTAGATAAATTTTCTTTTTATCAATAGAATATATTTATTTACCGTTTTGTAAATAATAAATTATTAGAACAGAAATGTTGACAATATTTTATGAGATCATCTTCAGAATCATTAATTGTCGAGCGAACTACTCGTACATTAGATCTAAAGAATTTTTAAAATGATTTGAAAGACGAAAAAAAAAAAAGAAAATTTTTCTTTACTCGGTTTTTGAATCAGATGACTAAAAAGCAAAAAGAAAAAGAAAAACGAATATTTTAACAATTGAATAACTTACACTGGGTGCAGAAAGAACAGCAGTAAAGAATAGAAAAACTAAGCATGTAGTCATAGTAAATCGGACAATGAGTGTAGATTGCATGATAATATGTGTTGTTTATTCTAAATAAAATGATAGAATGAATGTCATACGATCTCTAACATTATATTTATTAAAATAATATCTCAACATAAGATGAGAAGAGAAAAAAAGGATCCATATATACGGAGAACATTTTTATTTTCTATCCGGAATACACACACATACACAAATTGATTTACTCTCTCTCTTTCTTTCTTTTTTTTTTTTCGTTCGTTGTTAATAATGATGAACACATTATCAATTTTCATTATCATGTCAAAGATACTCTCATATGAATTATCGGAAGATGATATCATATTAATTTAATTATAATTTTTTTGGGCACATATATCTCATTACATTCTAATTGAAATTACTCAAAATAAATAAAAATGATTCGAGAAAGTTGGATCATGATTAAAAAAAATGTAACTACGAATGAACGAAGAAAAATTAATTCATATTTCGATCTCATATATTTATTGAATAATATAATAAGTCAATAACTAAGAAATGACTTGTGCTATGGAAAGTAAATGATGTTTCCCTTTTTTTTTTTTGTATGATAAGAAAAAGTATTGAGAACTAACTTAAACATTTTTTTTTTCTTTTATTTCATAATATCTATTAAATAAATTTTCTTTTACAAAATATTTCAATAATTAGAAAATCATTAGAATAGATAATTTGTATAATTATTATGTACTACTATTATTTATTTATTTTATTAGAATTATTAATATTTACTGTCAAAGTACTACTTAAGAAATATATATTATTTTATGATAAGACTAAGATTTTAAAAATCAATTTATTTTGAACTATGGCGATTGATGGACAATACAAAAATAAAAATGAATATAGTAACTGTAGAAATATCTCTTTATATTTTCTTTGCACAAATAAATTGTACATAATCTAATCAATATTTTCATTCGATAGAAAAAATTCAATATCGAAAAATGTTGTCTCTTGACATTAATAGACATTATTGATTTTAAGAGCAAACGATGAAAATATGATAATTATATACGTCATTTATTTTTATGAACATTTTATCAGAATAGTGAAGTTTTTGAGTGAAATATAAATATTGAAGGAATTTATCATTTCTTCGGATAGATATGTAAGAGTTCTATATTGATTAGTTTTAAAAATTCATTACTTTTCATGCAAACTAAAATAATCAGGTACTTAATTTTATCATAGATCCGTATAAACTAAACTTCGTATATTGATGGAATAATATGAAAGATTTATTTTAATTCAACTAATATGAAAAAAGTTGTTTGATAGAATGTTCAAGAATCATACAAATGTGAACTATGTTTTAATGATTATCCTATTACTTCAGGTAATTCAAAAACTAAAGAATAATGTTTCATCACAGACAAATCTTAGTGATAGTAGAATATTTATTTTATCCAATAACCTATTCAACTTAAAAATCATTCTTATTAGAATTTTGTATGAATATATAAGAAAAAATTTCTACCAACTAACAACATAACATTTGAAAAATGCACTTATTGCACTTATGAGAAGATCTCGGTAAGACTAGAATAAGTCTAACAGCACTCGTTTGCATGAATCTTTGGAGGTTGAGTCAAGATCATTTTCGATCCACCTTTAGATACATACCGAAAAACCAAAAACACGAGATTTCCACATGAAATTTTGTACATAGATAAGTCTAATGATCCATAGAATATTCCTTTTGACAAGACATTGAATTTTCAAAAAATAATCGCTCGCCAAAAACATATCACAAAAATTAAGTTTACTTGAAAATTCAATATCTCTACAAAGAAACATTTTTTTTTTCGACTGAAACTTTCAAGGTATTCTATGGGTTATTCGATTTATAATATGAGTAGAATTTATCTAAAGAGGTATCGGAAATTCAGAAAAAAACGAAAGACTCATGGGAATGAACCCTCATAGAATTTTCCTAGTCTGATCAAGGTATTCTCATATACCTAATATAAGCTCAAACAGTGAGGTATTAGTTTGAGTGATTCATTCGTTAGTTTCTCTGATTTTTATTAGCCAATAATGAATAGTTAACTTAACATCCTGATTTACGAGAATTCATAAAATTTTTACATAACAATTAAAAATGAATTCTAGCGCTTTGCTTCAAAAATCAATACAAAATTCATTTTACTAATACGTAATATTAAATCAAAACCTTTTTGAAAACTTAGAAAGATAAATACATCATGTTCACTCATCTCATTAAATTTACTAAACTTTAAAAGAATTATTCTATAGGATCTTTCTTTTTTATATTATCATCAAATAGCAAAACTACTAACTTACTCAGTCGTTCTTTTTTTTTAATAGAAAAAAACTATATTTTGTTATAAGAACCACCAAGAGTAAATCTAATTTCCAATACAACATTGAAAAAAAAAGCACAGTTTACACTACCACAACTCAACATTACACATATCTTTTTCACTTCTCTTCTGATGTGAACAAAATAATAAACCCTATTGCTCGATAGTAAACTTGTAAGGACTTTTTTTTGGAGGTGTTTAATTTTGCACATTTCCTCTTCGTCAATTCGTTCTAAAAAAAGATATATTTAGTACACAATTTGTAATTTAGGTATTACTCTTTCGAACAAAAAAAAATTTGATTGGTTTAAACGTTGGCAATACAATGTAACAAAGTTTAACATATTCGTATCACATATGACAACCATTTTTTGATTATCTAGATCTGAATATGATACATCAATGTCGTCTAAATATCGTCTTTTTTTTTCTATTTTTGATAATCTTATATCCTGAAATAGAAACTACTAATCCTTATGAATTTCTTTATTAATATTTCACTAATTTCATTCAGTAAAAAACAAAAGTAATCAAAATTCACTATGAAATAAATCAATTTATTTATTAATCAAAAAGAAATTCAAAGAAAAATTTCATATTTATCAAAAATGAATTCAATTATCAAATATTGTATTTTATTTAACTGTTGTTAACATAATAAATTTCAGTCTATAAATAACCTTTCTTTTTTCACAACTCATTTTTTATTCATTAATTCTAACACCCACTATTTTTCACACAAAACTTTTATTAAACAATAATTAAAAAGAATACAGAAATGATCAGTCGGCTTGTATCTAAAAAAAAACTCTATTAGTTTTTAATTCCCAATAGCATCGACTTCTTTTAATCGTTTTTCTAAATCACCATTTTCATGTAACCTTTCTGTATCATCACTACCACCAATACATTTTCCAGCAATAAATACACGTGGAACAGTTGTAGCATTTGTAATTTTTCCTAATACATCTTGATATTCATAACCATTATCAATTTGATCGAGTTCAACTACTTTATAATCCTTTAATTTATATTCAGCAAAAATATCTTTTGTTGCCATACAATAAGGACCTGAATAAAGCAAAACAAAAATTGATTTTTAAATTTCAACATAGACAAGAAAAAACAAAAAAAAAGAAGCATACAAGATGTTTTTGAAAATATAATCACTTTATGATTGTTTATTAATTGTTTCACTTTGTCAGCTATTACTTCCTTACTAGCAGCAGTACTAGCTGACAAAGTGATTCGACGAAATATTTGTCGAAATATGGTAATTAATTGAAGATGATTATAAAAAAAGAAAAGTAGAATCTAGAAATAAATATAAATATAACATTATAACAAAAATAATGTCAAAAGCAAAAGCAAATTTTAAATAATTTAAAACACTCTAATTACCTTAACCGTGAAAAATGTTCTATACATAACATTTTTTGCAATGTTCAACCTATCGCTTTAGTCATACCGACAAGTTGTCTTGATTTATTCTTGTTACAAAAAAAATTAACAAACAATAGATAATAACTTTTTTTTTATTCGATCTTATGAATTCAATTGTTAATAACAAAAAGCATTTTGTAAATGCACAAATACAAAAGAATTATCTTCTTTTATTTTTATTAACAAAACAAAAAATTAAGTTAACATAACTTCAGATTTTTCTAATATTTTATTCTTTTGTTTTGTAATTTTACCAGAATTTTTCTTTATTTTTTTCTGTTTATCTTTTCTTTTTTTTACAGCTTGTTTAACTTGTAAATGTTTTCGTTGACGACCACTTAACCATGATGGATATTGACCATCTTTATTTCTTAATGTTCGATTATTATATTCTGATGAATTACCAGTTTGCATTTCTTTAAAGAAAAAAAAAACAAAAAAACTCTATTTCAACAAAAAAAAATTTAATACCATCATCTATTGTTGATTCTTTTATTGGTACAGTTGATGCTAAAAAATAGAACAAAAAAAATGTCATCACGTAAATGAATAATAATAAAAGAAATATTTACGAATTAAATTATCATTTTTCATCGATGCTAATCGTTTGACTTCATCTTTTTTTGATAATTTTTCACGAAGAATTTTGCGCATTGCACGCATATGTTTACTTCGTTTACTTTTTGCCATCTATAAATACATTTAGCAAAAAAAAAGTCATATTTTATTAAATTCCTATTTATAAAAACAAGACAATAACATCGAATAAGCGATATTTTATTTTAAAAAAAAACCAGAACACAAAATAAATAAATAAATACACAGATCTCTCTGTATCGATTAATTTTATCACAGAATTTGTGTTGATGCACTTTGGCTTTGATATATAATGGCACCAACAAAATTAACTGCACTTGCAAGAATAAATACAGGAAACCAACGATTATGACTTGCAACAACTAATTCAGCTGTTACAGGACCAGCTAAGATTCCTGGTATAGTAGCAAGTGTATTTGATATAGCAAATGTTATACCAGCATGATTAGGTGCTATATCAGCATGATTCGATAAATGACCAGCAGAATTACATGCACTTAAACCCATACTTATGGATATAAAACTAAATTTTGTATAAACAAAAAAAAGTAAATAATATTTAAGATTTAAGAAAAAAAAATTTTTTTGAAATATTACACAAAAGCAAGAAATAAACTATCTACTGAGATAAAAAGAAGCATAAATAAGCCAGGTCCAAGTAAACCAACAGCTGTCATTAATCGACGTACGGATAATAATGTCCAACGATTTTGTATAAGAAAATCAGCAAAATGACCTGCAGCTAAAGAAAAATTATTCATTTATATTTATACTTATATTAGAGAATATTTTCAATCGAACGAATCTTAATTTTAACTTGAAAGAAAAAAAGAAACATATCAAATTTTTTGTGTTTATTTTTCAAAAATACACTATCATAATTAAGTAAGTATGCATCGAATTCGAAGTAAACCAAAAGAAAGACTGCAGACTTTCAGTTCGGGTTCGCTGCATACCCAATAATTAAAGGTGTTAATTTATTCTTTATAGTAAAAAATAAATATATAAATCAGGCTTTTTCTTTTCTCTGCAAGTAACATATCTTCTTATTATACTAGGGTATTGTTTATTCAAAACCTAGAATTATGAGTAACATCTTCTGATCAATAAGAATAACTTACGTCACGCTATTAAAGCGTGTAAACGTCATAATTCACTACCATAGATACTGTTGAGTCGTATCTAATGTCTACAGACACTGCTGTCGCCGTGATGGCGGTAGTTTTTTTTTTTTAAGAAATTTCAAAAATACATGAATTTGCACAGAATCTCGATGTTCATATATGCGATACTGTAAGACTTAGCAAATCTAGTCGATCAGCAGCAATTCTAGTTCAAACTAATCATGACCTTGAAAATCGAAACATGTTTTTGAATACGATTGTGGCAGCAGCAGATTCTCAGATATGTATTTATTGTCCGTTTAAAAAAAGAACCTTTGTTTTTTTTTGTTAATGCGAAGTTCCATTTAACTTTTTCAACAATTTTTACATAACAATCGATAGTTTTTATTTAGCTCTATCCAATGCAATTAGCTCCGATATTTAAAAACACCTATGGACTATATTTCATGGTTGTCAATACAAAAATAAATCTATTTTTTTTAGATCCAACTCTCGAAACAAGTATAAGGGTAAATATTTATGTAAATAAACAAATTATTTGTTTCTTTTTTTTTTTTGCTAGAAGGCATAATAGAAAATTACTCCTCTCTTCACTGTGTAAAAGCTTATGTAAATACGATGGCAAACATCAATATACAGCTGTTTATGAACACTATAACAAAGTACCTGTGTGAAAGTAAAAATTTTCTACGATTTTTAATAAATTATTTTATAAATTACATCAATAAAAGTACGAGTATCTAAGCTGTCAAATCAAATTGAATCAGAAGTTACCGGAACGAGGAAAAAACGAAAATCTTAGTTCCTTACATCTCTACTAAGAATAGATTCTTTTAGTTATATTTACCAACACCCAATAAACAATTCATAACATATGGAAATGCAGTAAATGATAAATTAGTTGGATCAGCATCAAATGTTTTTGTTAAATAAGATGGTAACCATACCATAACAATATATGATGACCAATTCATAGAAAAATGTGCTATATAAATAGCCCATAAAGGCCAATGTGAAATAAATTCAATCCATCGATAATTTTTATTACCTACCTAAAAAAAAAATAATTTTTTTTTTTATATTTTTCTTTTAACTACAAACAAATACTTTAGGTGTTGAAGGAAAAAATGTTTCTTCATTTCCACTTCCAATAGAAGTATTACTACCTTCACGATAAGTAATAATCCAAAAAAATGTCCAAAAAAATCCCATAACACCAAAAATAAGAAAAACAATACGCCAAGCCATATGAGGGCATATCTATAATTTAAAAAAAAAATAAATACTCTTTTTAAGGAAGGAAAAGGTTTCATACCACAGCTGCAAATGTTTGTCCGACAGAACCTAATGCAATAAGATAACTAAACGATCTTGATCGTTCTTCCATTGGTACATAATTACTAAATATATGAAAAATTGTTGGGAGAGCTAAAATTAAATATACAAAAATTTTCTTTTTTTTTTGAATTTAATCATTTTTCTTTATACCTAATCCTTCTCCAAATCCTAATGTAATTCTTGAACATATAAGTAAAAGAGGCCAAGGTGCTATAAAAGGTGTTATAAATGTTACTAATGACCATGTAAACACAGCACAAGCAAGAACAGTTTTTGTTCCAAAACGTTTTACAAAAATATGAGTAAATAATTGACTTGTTAAATATCCAATAGGGAATGCTGAAAGTATATAACCTTGTAAACGTAAATTCCAATTAAATTCTTTTGCCATTGGAATAATGGCAACTAAAAAAACAAAAAAAGTTAATTAAACAAAAAAAAAATGATTAACAATATATATTTTACTTGGCATAATTGCTCTATCGGCTGCATTTATAAAATTAGCAAATGAACAAATACCAACCGTACGAGATTTAACGAAAGACATTTGTACATATCAATTTAAGAGGTTCGTTTTTTTTTTTCATTCAGTCACAATAAATAAATTATTATTATTTTATTCTTGAAATCAATTGGTTAATTATAAAACCAAAAAAATTCATTTCATTAGATGTCGTATTAGGAAACAAAAAAAAAAAAATTATTTTTTCTTAAAAAATTTCAATAGATATATATCAAATGTAAACTTTTTAAAATAAAATTTTATTATGAAAAATTTTTCATTTATTTTTTTTTACTGTCCTCCTTCTATTGATTTCTAATTGGTTATTTAAATTCTTGAAATGGATTTTCTCTCAAATAATTATTTACTACATGTATTGAATTTATTTACATGAAACATATTTTTCTTCAAAAAAAAAAAAAAACTAATTTACTTTTTTTTTGTAGATCATCTTTTAATTTGTCCAATATCATAATAATAAAAAGATGGGTATTAGTCGTGATCATTGGCATAAACGACGAAAAACTGGTGGTAAACGCCCACAACCACATAAAAAACGAAAATTTGAATTAGGTCGACCAGCAGCTCTTACAAAATTAGGTGCTAAACGTATTCATACTGTACGTACAAGAGGTGGAAATAAAAAATATCGTGCTCTACGTCTTGATATTGGCAATTTTTCTTGGGGTTCAGAAGGTATTGCTAAAAAAACACGTGTTATCGATGTTATGTATCATCCATCAAATAATGTTTGTATTTAAAGAAAATAAAAAATTCTTTTGTTTTTGAAAAACAATTTTTATTTAGGAATTAGTACGTACAAAAACATTAACAAGATCAACTATTGTACAAATTGATGCTGTTCCATTTCGTCAATGGTATGAATCATATTATGCATTACCACTTGGTCGTAAGAAAGGCGTTAAATTAACTGAAGCTGAAGAAGGTGTACTTAATCGTAAACGTTCAGGTCGATCAGAAAAAAAAATTGCTGTTAAACAACGTCGTGCAAAAGTTGAACAAGGACTTGAAGAACAATTTCAAGCTGGACGTGTTCTTGCTTGTATTTCATCAAAACCTGGTCAATGTGGTCGTTGTGATGGTTATGTACTTGAAGGAAAAGAACTTGATTTTTATATGAAAAAAATCAAACAAAAAAAGAAATAGAATATATTATCATTTATTGTTTTAAACAAATATAACAACGTTTTTGAAATATAAGAATAAATGAGAGCAAAAGATAAAATCGATATGAATTAAATTATTTTTGTTTTTTTTATTAATTAGAAAAAAATTTTATTTATGGATTAAAAATTTTTTTTTTAAAAATTTTTAATTTTTAAAAAAAAATTGAAATAATATTTCTACAAATATTCTTAGAGAAAAATATATAAAAAGAAAAACTTAGAACAAATCTTTAGTCTGTATTAATACCTATTTCAACTGCTTTCAAAAAAAAAAAAAAATTTCTTTATTTAATACATAGTAATTTTACAATATGTAGTTCAATATTTGATTCGTTCTTCTTTTAACTAAATAACTAAGAGACATCTGTTTTATTCATTCTTCATCAATAAAAATTTTCAATTCATTAACATTTGTTGGTTTTATTCAATCCGATATTCCAAGGTAGGTGAAATTAGCCAACGATTCGAATAAAAGCAGCTAGAATTCGCCTAGGAGTCTGTTCCAAGTACAACTCGACGAGCTCTATCCAATGGTATGTTCAAAATTTTCATAGAGCAAACTACGATTTTCAGGTCTTCATAGTACCATCTATGATTCCAAAGATCATACTTTGATCTATGAAAAATCTGAACATACCATTGGAAAGAGCTCGTCGAGTTGTACTTGGAACATAGGTTGGAATAAGTTCCTAGACGAACCCTAGCTGATTTTACTCGAATCTTTGACTAATTTCACATACGTGATGTTCCACATATTTTCAATTGGATTGAGATCCGGACTATTGAATGGTCAGTTCATAACAGAGATCCGCGAGTCAGTTGAAAAATCGCCTCGCCTAACATCTATCATAAAAAAGATTTTTTGAGGCAGTTTCTCATTCATCCAGAACAATTACTATCTTTTTATTTCGTAAGATCAAACATAGTACAACAAATAACGGATGAAGCAGAATAAATGGTTACGCCTTTGTATTTCTATGTTCAATCACTTAATACGTTGTATTAATAAAATAAAATACGCTACAAGATGCAGTGTGAAAAGCTCTACAATTTATATAAGACAGCTTCTTTCATAGTTGCGCTTTATGTTTTGCAAATCGACAAAAGTCTGAGGGATCAGATTTAGACGCTGCAGAAAGTTCATTCTTTTCTTTTCTTAGTTGAGATTTGTTATTACCTGATATGTTTTATTTGAAAAAATAAAATATATCATAATGTACAGCGTGACAAGCTCTGCAGTCTACAATGTAAAGTTTACTTTAATACTGTACTTTTTATATTCAAAAAAGAACAAAATACTGTGTGACCACCTTTTGCAGCATCGAAATTAGATCTCTCATAGTTTTGTCGATTTTCAAGACAAAAAAGTGTTACTATGAAAGAATCTATCTTATATAAGCTATAGAGCTTTTCACACTGCATCTTATGATAGATTTTGTTTTTTTAATACAACGTATTAAGTGATCGAAAATTGAAATGGAAAGCGTAGCCATTTAACAAGCTTCACCTATTACATATAAATAGGTTCACAAACCAAAAATATAAAATGTGATCAAAATAAATAGGAATCATTCATTTTTTTACTGAACGTATAAATAATTTATTGTTAACTTGTTATGGATTTCAATGAGTACGTCTAAAATTGACCATCAAATCATCGACACTGAATTGGCGCTTGACATTAACTATAGTTGCTCGAATTGAAAAAATTAATCGAGCAACCTTTAATAATATTGGATAAATGAAAAGATGTTCATACCAAAACTTAAAACAATTATCGTCTATTAAATCAAGCTCAATAAGTTACTTAAGATATTTGCCTTATTTGTGACCGTGCTCGTCATCAAATTGAAGATATGGATCTTACTGACTTATTATTAGTAAGAAATTTTTCCATTATTCGCCAAAAAATCATATTGTAGGTAGGCGAGTCGACTCGCCGAGTCACAAGATCAACTCGTACTCGCCCCGGTGCGAAGAATGCCGCCCAGCCTCGCCTCGCGGCGGGGCGGGAAAACTCGGCGAGTATCGGATCTCTGGTTCATAATATGTGGAACATTTACAGACAATCATCCTTCAATTTTTGAAGATCAGTGTTTGGTGTTGTTATCTTATTGAAGTTGTTCTCTAATGTTTCGATGTAATAATTATTGTGCATAATATTTTGAAATAAATGAAAACTAACTGCTTCATGCTAGCTGATGAAACTCCAAACATGAATTTTTTGTCGATTCTTCGGAATTCTTTTTTTTTCTTCTTTTGGATTTTTTAACTACCGATGAATTGTATTTCTAAATAATTGAAATGAACTTTCATCGGTAAATACTGTAGGTTTTCAATTGTCATTTGAATATTGTTTGGTCTATTCAACTCGATTTTCTCTTTATATTCTTGTGTGAATATTGGAATATTTAATGTTAAACAATTTTTATATTGAAGATGATTTAAATGACGTGAGATTGTGCTGATAGAAACATTTAATTTACATTGATTACGTAACTTCATTATTCCATCTAATAAATTGACCTAATGCTCGGCTGCATTTGGTTCCAATCTTACATCTTCGACTATTGCCTGCTCTATGTCGTAGAAAACCTTGAGTTCGGAGGTTTTTCAATTGATAACTAATTGTAGACAATGGTATCTTCGAATCTTGGTGGATTTTTCTGGCGGAACGAATTCTCATGTTTCAATAATATAATACCTAAATATGATGTGATTTGGTAAGTATAAATCTAGAATAGCAGCAAAATAAAGGTTCAAGAGAATCTAGAAAATACAAAATGTTTATGCTGTCAGTTTGTTTACAAACTATTGTAAATTGATCGAAATACAATTGAACTATCGGAATGATTTTATAGAATGAAGACTAATTCGATGGTTTCTTTTTTTCTTTACACACAAAAAAAACAAAAGATTAAATTCAAAACGAAAAGCACGTTTATATACTATTTCATAGTGTTGTCTATTTAACAATTAGTGTAGACTAAAGGAGACAATATCGTTTCCTTGTTTTTAGTTCATTCGATAAAACTGTTGGAATTGTTTTTCAAATATTAAAAATATGAGTGCGTACTCAATTGTCCAACTACGATTTTCTGTAGATATGCTACCGATTTGTGTACATCTTTGTTCGCCAAGAAAAAGTAACGCAATTCACATCAATCAATAGAGAATTTTTGTATTCTCTGTTTCGACAACCTTTTCAAGATTCCTCGTATTGTCATTTATGAGAAAAGATCCGAAACTAACTAAAACCTAATGACATTTTTCCATGGATTTCCAAAGATGATTTGGTGTATTCTTTCATTGTCGAATATAGAACTTAATTCTAAAATGATATGACTACTAAGTTGAAGAGTAAGACCGATTAGGTTGTATCTCATGAAAAAAAAAAATAGAGAAAAATCATATAATCCTACTAGACAATGATTTTTTTCCGAATGTTTTTTATCTCCAGATTTTTTTTCTCGTAAATATTTCTTCTAAAATTCTGAAGTATATATCAAAATTGTTTGAAATTTCAGCAAAATATTGTTAGAAAGAAAAAAAGCAAATGATTATGTTCCATTTAATCTGCACCAATCGTTTTATAACTAAGCTTCTTATTACGAAATTTCATATGCTGTAAGATTAATAAGAATACTTCAACCATAAAATAATGCAAATACATAATATAGCACGAACTATCAATCGGAAAAAAAAAATCTCACTCTTGAATGGTTGTATAGTAAGTTAATGCTGAAGTTGAGTCAGTTTATTCATGTCATTTGAATAACTTTTATTCCATTTTGTATATAATCATCTGAATCATATTTTTTGAGAAGTCTTTAATTTGAATTACGTATTTGAAAATTT